TTTTTTTTTTTTTTTTCAGAGAATGAAATATATTCTCAAAAAAAAAAAACAGGTCTTAATATCTTATGTAGTTTTGCTTCTCAAGTAAACTTTTCTCGTTTAAAAGATGTTTAAATATTTCTATTGGAAAATGAGAGGGAAATACTGATAAATAAAATTATTTTTGCAGTGTAAATATAACCAGCAGAAACATTCTCATTTTTATTGAGCTAAACAGGATGTTTCATAAGAATGATAAGGAATAGATTTTATATGAAACGGATGTTACGCTTCTCCTCAACATTTCAGATAATAAAAACATACAGGCGAGAGAAGCAACCACCAACAAGGAGAGAAAGAAATCTGGACAAGAAAACAAAATGCTTCATTAACTCTGATCAAATGAGTGAAGTAATCACAGAGACAGCGAGAGAAAGCGATAGAACTTGACTCCAGACCAGACAGTCATTTGCAGAGTGAGTGTAATTGCAGGAGACCTACTGTATGCTAACAGCCACGTACGTGTGTGTGTGTGCGTGTATGCATGTGACTGCATGTGACTGCTGCTCAGTGACGCAATGTGACTTCAGTATGTGGATAATAATGAATATAGCTGAGAGATGGATTTAGAATTTTAGAAGAGTTCTGCAAATTAACATCTATAAGCATCTCTGCCAATATAATGGAATATGAGTAAAGTAGGGGGAACATCCATCCATCTGAGACTTTAAACAAAAATCTTTGTTTTTGCAGATCTGAGTAGATGAAAGGCAAAACTTGCTCAGCTTTGCAAATGTGTGTATAATTCAGAATATAACATGACACCTGTTCTACAAACAAATTCTACAAACAAATTAACAATTTGAGAGATTTTTAGTACATATGAAATAAACACAAACTGGCTTCTAACTTGTCTAAACTGGTCATTTGCTGGGGACCCACTTTATATTAAGTGGCCTTAACAACTTTTAAATTAATAATTTGGTACAATGCACTTATTGTGTACATAGATGTTTTTACATTGTACTTATATTTTAAAAATACCTGCATGTAATTACATCTGTAATTAATTTCTGTAATTACATTTATAATTACACAGTTGACCCATCTCTTACACCTTAACCCACCCTTAAACTTACCCATACCAACAAACCTGTCCCTAACCTTACCCATATCCCACCTCAATAGCAGCAAAAGTGTTTTGCAATACAATATGAACACAATAAGTACATTGTACTTAATTTTTGATGTAAGTACATAGTAGTTAAGGCCACTTAATATAAAGTGGGGCCTTTGCTGGTTCAAGCTGCTAGAAATTTACCAGTTATAAACCAGAAATAAACCAGTTACCAGCTGGTTATGCCATATTAAAGGGATAATTCACACAAGACAATTCTGTCATCGTTTACTCCCCCTTCTGTCATCCCAAACCTGCATGTGGAAAATAAAGAAGATATTTTGAGAAATGTCTCAAGATTTTTGTCCATACAATGGAAGTCAATGTGCTCCAATGTTTGGTTCCCAACGTTCTTCAAAATATCTTCTATTGTGTCACACAGAAGAAAGTCATATAGGTTTGGAACAACATGAAGCAACAACAGAATTTTGTTTTTTGGGATGGTTTTTGGAACATGGTTTCTGGTTAACAAGCTATTTAGACCAGATAATGAAAAGCTAAAGATTGCTAAAAAGCAGCATGTGAATTTTCTGTAGGAATTTTCTGTACAACATATACATCCTAAAATCTGTTTGAAACTGTGTGGCACTACATCTTGGATGTTACTCTCTCACCCCGTCAGAATAAAACACTTATAGACATAGATTTGATCTGAAAAACACACACAGAGCAGTCTGCAGGCTACTAAAGTAACACATAACTGCGAAGTAAATTGGTAATATATAGGAGGATAGAAAGTCCTACTGTGAGTGAGTCAGCGGTTCAGTTCTTTGTGTCTGAAGTCAATACTGAACTACCACAGAACCAGACCTTTACCTGCCCACATGACTCTTGCCATGACAAAACCCAACCGTCTATCACTTTGACATGAATTAAAGAAAGAGAAAGAACGAAGAAACAACTAAGATGCGCAAAATGCAGCCTCAATCAAATATCAAACTGCATAATTTGTGCACTTAGCTGATGCCAACGATGCACATTTAATTATGACTTTCTGATTTCCCCAGTTCATGACAGATCAGAACCCACAAGAGCGACTGCATCAACTTCATTTTTGCTATGATTACAAAGGCATGTCCATAGGACAAATGCAATTTTGTTTGGGAAAGGAGTACATCTGGGTGTGAGAGCAACCTGTCATTGAGATAAAACAGTCCATTACACACTCAAATGCACATCATTATCAGATAAAGCCCTTGAGAGGGGCTGCTGGCAGATATCCAACCTAAGGGAGGGAAACGCTATTTTCAATGCTGTTAAACATTAACTAGCACTGAGCAAAGTTCTTCGCTTTTCTCAGACGCACACATAACATTCTTGAACATGTTTTCCCTGGACAGGAGTATTATTGTGGGCCAAATACAGTTTAATGTCTGCATATACTCGGCAGAGTTCAGTGTACAAATAGTAGGTTGCTATGGTAAGAAAGTCTACTAAAAATATACTGCAAATGAGTAGTTGACATGACATCTGAAGCAGCATGGCATCTTATACTTAATCTAAACCACTTTTTAAAACAACAACAGACCTCAAATTAATTGAGGATGGGGCATTTTAAATATTAATTTGTCACACCATATTTTCATCTGGTCATGTGATCTCGATACAGTATATCCATCCCTATATGTTGACCCACTTCATGTAACATAAATCAGCTTTGATTAGTCTGATTTAATTAGTCTCGTGTGTGTACTTAATTAATTTTTACTTTATTTTAGTATTATTAATTTCTTCATATGTAATTTTATATTATTATTATGACTACACCATTTTGTGAACTGCCAAAAAAAAAAAAAAAAAAAATGATGATTAAAAATGGAGAAGCTTAAAAGTGCAGCAAAAATACACTTACATTTTCAAATAAATTTTAATTCAAATGGGCCCCTATTGGAATTTTTTTTTTATCATACTTGCATATAATTATTAACAATTTGTGTTTGCTACCTGCTGATTATGTGTCACAAATAGTCTAGACTAAAAGTTGATTGTTCCCTTTCAGTCAGTCACATTTGACGTTACGTCGACACTGACGTTAGGGGTCTCACTTGGGAGCCCCAATCACCTCTGAGCATTACAAGAAATGGCCAATGACAATTGGCGAGTGGAATTTGCATGGCAAGCCACTTCCTGTACATACAGGTATATAAGATGGCGGTGTGCATCCACTCATTCAGATTTTTGCTTCGCTGATAAAGGTTGCTTTACGCCATGCCTCCCAGGTTGGGCTCTCTTCCTTCCCTCTGCTGCCCCTCCATCTGTATGTCAGGAATCATCCCTATGGTGCCGCTTGCTTGAAATTTGGGAGCCTGGCTAGCGCTCCCCAACCCGTCTCGCTGGCTCATTCGGACGATTCAACTTGGCTATGTGATTCAATTCACCAGGCACCCTCCCAGTTTCAGGGGCATCCTCTTTACGTCAGTGACAGACAGGGATGTCCCTGTCCTTATTTCATTGTACCCAAGAAGAGTGGTGGGTTAGAACCTATACTGGATCTGCAAGTCTTGAATCGGCCACTTCACAGGCTTCCGTTCAAGACGTTGACACAGAAGCTCATTCTTTCATGCGTTCGACACCAGGATTGGTTTGCAGCGATCAACCTGAAGGACACGTACTTCCAGGTCTCGATTCTACCTCGACAAAGGCTGTTTCTTTGGTTTGCTTTCGAGGGTCAGGTGTATCAGTACAAAGTCCTCCC